CACATATAAGGGGGGGGGGGGAATAACACAGATTTAATTACACAAAACTAAAAATCTTCAGATAAACAACAGACTGAGAAATGCCTAGCAACTTTAACAGACAAAATGCCAATGTTCCATCAATAAATTAGAAGGGAAACAGGTTGGAAAACCAGCTAAGTTGGTGAAATGTTTGCCTGGCATGCAAGAGACTCTAGGTTAGAGCACCAGCATGGTGTAAAACCATGGCACACACCTGTTATTCCACCTCTAGGGAGATACAGGTAGGAAAACCACAAGCTCAAGGCCACCCTCTGCTACAGAGTATGCTAGGTGCCAGGTTGCTCTACATGGGATGCTGTGTAAGAAAAGAAGGGGCCAAGGGAAGGAGAGAGCTATGAAGGGAGAGAGGGAGGGAGGGAAGGAAGGAAGGAGAGAGAACACACAGAAAAATGTGTTCCCAAACACCTTGTAATCCTCAGGCAGCACAGACTGGAGGATGGAGAGTTCAAGGCCAGCCTCAGTTATCAGTGAGTTTGAGGCCAGCCAGAGACTATCAAGGAGGGGAGGAGTAGGCACTGGGGAGAATTTTCTGAACAGTTGTTTCCTTCGGTTTCTCCTTCAGCCTCTCAGTGTGCATGTGCTTCTCGGGCCTCACCAATTTCTCCAACTCCTCAGCTTCAGTCCTCAATGCCAACAGGCCATTCATCCATCTCAGTGTTACCAAAGTTAAGACTTCAGAGGGTTCTTTTCTCTTTGGCCACGCTATGGGCCAATTACCCCATGAATTTGGATCCCACTCCACCATTCCCACCTCTTTTTTTTTTTTTTGAGACAGGGTCTGACACATTCCAAGCTATGACTATGTAGCCCAGGATGAGTTTGAGAAGTCCTAATCCCCCTGCTTACTAAATACTAGGATTACAGACAAGCACCACTACACTTGGTTTAATGCAGTGCTTGGATGGAACCCAGGTCTTTGTGCACACTAGGCAAGAACTCCACCAGCTGAACTACATCTTCAGCTCGAATGTTGAAAAGTACACAGCTAAAATAATTTTGCAATACTCTTAAGAACAAGACCTGATGGGACTTGTTCACAGCAAGGGGAAAAATGCAAACAGCTCTACATTCCAAATGTGCAGAGTCAATCCTGAGCTGTGGACACAGCTCAGTAGGAGGGCGGCTCCAAGAATGGGTATGATCCCCTGCACTGCCGAAAACAGTTAATATGCACTGAAGGAACCCTCTGGACTGTAATCACCAGTCAACAACAATGGCTTAAAAGGTGCTTTTTACAAGCTTTCTGCCAAACTCCTGTATGCGTACAATGTAAGGAAATGAGTAGCCAGACATTACCTGGTTAAATTCTATTCCTCAAGTACCTTTATATAAGGATAAGCACACAATGGCAATCACTAACCAAAAAAACCTGTTTCTCTTCCTCCAACAGCACTACGTAACAACTGAAAAGGGCCGCTGACTGAAGAGTTCCCATGTGGGGAAGGGGTGCAGACCACAAGACAAGCACTCTTAGTCGTCTCCAGTCAAACCAGATGGTCAGTGCTTTAAAAATTAGAAAAATCTCCTACTTTTAAAAACTAGGAAAAAGTCAAAGTGCATGCCTCTTCTATCTAGGAGGACAAGCTTTCCCCCAAAATCAAACCTAACAAACTATTACATCGGATCCATGCTTGAAAGGAGAGGGAAGGGCTGGAGAGATGGCTCAGAGGTTAAGAGTACCAACTGCTCTTCCAGAGGTCCTGAGTTCAATTCCCAGAATCCACATGGTGGCTCACAACCATCTGTAATGAGATCTGGTGCCCTCTTCTGTATACATAATAAATAAATAAATCTTTAAAAAAAAAAAAAAAAGAAAGGAGAGGGAAATTCACTCACTGGAGACATTCATGGATTCAGCCTTCACTGGAAAGTCACACCGCTAGGACGAAGCAGTGTGGAGCTGCACAACAGAGGTCTTTCAAAGAAGCGAATGAAAAGAAATTTTTCTTGTTGCTGAGACAAAATTTCACGTACCCAAGCATCCAAAGTGAAGAGCACCTCACTCTCCGACCCTCCTACTTCTACCTCCTAAGTGGTGGGTCACGGTGTCCCACAGGGCAGGTCTATGCAGTGCTGGGATGGACCCAATGGCCTCATGCACAGTAGGCTAGCACTCCACCAACTGGGTAGTTTATCCCCAGCCCCCCAAAACACTTTCACATGCAAACCCTCCTTTACTTAGCAATAGAAGGGAAAGGAGTCTACTTTCTAATCATGTATGGGATTTGTTATCCAACTTATTTATTAACTGTCCTTGCTAGTGACTCATTTTGGCCTCATCGATGTTAATAAGCAGCTGTCTGTAATATAACCACCAGTTTAGTTTATTGTTAATAAACATATAATCTTAATGGCTGAGTCAGAGAACAGAAAATGGTACAGTTTAGAGTACTGAGGTTGTCCTTAGAGGAAGCTTGGGGGGAAAGTAGTATTAGGATGTTTCTATTGATTACAAAGCACTAAAGACATGCAGTTAGTTGTGTCTTTAGTAAAATTTCCTAAATTTTAAAAGATAATATTAATTAGAATGGCTTCAAGAAATTTTAATCAGAAAAATCATATATCCATATTCTCGTTCTCTTTTTTAATAATTGGAGCACTAAATAAAGAAAATCCCCACAGAATACCTGTGTTTCTAGAGTTCAACACACTGATTCTTTCCAAAGAACTTTTGGAAATTATTTACATGATGTACCTATTTGCACTTGTCAAACTAATAAAAATATGGGGGAAATGAAAAAGCATCAGTCTCTTGCTCTTTCACTGAGTCTCTGGAGGTAAGGTATAGTAAGTAAAAACTAAAAACAATAGCTAAACAACCAAGATCTGAGAGACACAAAAGACAGGAGACGGAAAGTATATAGTTAGAAAATTATAGGCAGGATGGTAGTGGTGCACACTTTGAATCCCAGCACTCTGGAGGCAGAACCAGGCGAATCTCTGTGAGTTCGAGGTCAGCCTGGTCTACAGAGCAAGATCCAGGACAGATACCAAAGCTACATGAAAAAACCTTGTCTCAAAAAACCAAAAAAGAAAATTAAATACACTATAATTTTCACCTTTCAGTGGAAGTAATCAATAAATACTATCTAAAGATGGTACCTCAAGAAACATAAATGCAACTCTTCTTAGATTTATTTCTATTTATATATATATATGTGTGTGTCACATGTATGGGGGTGCCATAGAGGCCAGAAGAGGGTATAGGGTCCCATGGAACTAGAGTTACAGGAAATTTTGAGCCACCTGACCCAGGTACTTCAAACCCAATTTGGGTCCTCTGGAAGAACAGCAGGTGTTCTTAGTGGCCGAGCCAGCTCTCCAGCCACATACATGCATCTTTTAGAACAATAAGTGCAACCTTCAGAAGAACCACAAATTAGCCATCAACAGCAGAGCCTGTGGAGACTGGACAGTGAAAAGCCACACTTTATTTTATACCTGGTCACAATATGTGCTTTCCTATTATGTGCATGGATTCATATTGACTCGTTTGTTAGCCTATCAATAATCAGTTTCTTTAAAATCCACTGTATTTCATCTGCTACACCTTAAATAGCCATGAACTGACTGTCAGCTTTGAAAATAGAACCCACTCTAAAGCAGTAGTTCTCAACCTGTGGGTCACAATCCCTCTGGAGGTCAAAGGGCCCTTTCACAGGGGTCATATAAGACCATCGGAAAACACATTTACATTATAATGGATAACAATAGCAAAATTACAGTTGTGAAGCGGCAATGAAAATAATTTCATGGTTGGGGATCACCACGGGAGGAACTGGGTGTGTTAAAGGGTCACAGCATGAGGAAGGGTGAGAACCGGTGTTCTAAAGTAAAATATCTCTCAAATTATGACACAGTTGTGTGGTTGGTTTGCTCATGGAAGGAGGGCTGTGATTCTTTCAATCTTGCAAAGTTTGTTCACGGCTGACCATGAACCAAAATGGCTAAAGCAGTTATTACAACAACTATCAACTTTTTAAAAAAATTCAAAGAAAAAGTAAAGAAAAATGTACTTGGGAGGATTGTTTTAAAGTCAAAACCTCTCTTACCTGTGCTTTAAGTAAAAGCAACAATGTCTACTATAAGTCCTACAAATTAGTTCTGAAGTGAGTCTGACATTACAGAGGCTGAATGATAGCAAGCCTAAGGCCTTGAGCATTAAGACATGTGGAGCTCCAGTTCTCTTTGAAATGAAAACAGGGAAGCAATCTGGAGGTCTGATGTCTGCACTGATCCCCTCAGGAATGTAAAAGCACGCACAGCACTTTTAACCTTGTGGTACTTGAAGTTTTTAAAAACAAATTATTTCTGCCTAGACAAGCAGTTGGGTTTTCTGTTAATCCCTACTCTCCAGTCTCTACGCTCACGCTGGCCTTTCACCTCCTAAATGATCTCAAGCCACAAACCGAATTCAAAGGAAGGTCAGAACTTTACGATAAGTCATGATAGAAAATTATTTAACACAATGATCTTAGAACTGGATTGCTTTTGGCAGCCACATTAGTTTAGACGTTTGGTAATCAAGTAGTCGAGAAGATTTAAAGCTCTGTCGTCGCACCTTTCCGTATCTCACCCTAACGAAGGGCTTCCAAAACGTGGATCAGCACATTTGCCACTGAACTCTGACAATATCGAAGGAGCCAATGCACATCCTTTAAAAACAGCAGCGACTTTAGTATTAAGTTTCACTACTGTACTGGCTATACGACCGTAGTCCAGACTCACTTCATCAACTCTCCCACGGCGAAGGGCAGAAATAAATCTGATTTACAAAACCGGAGGCTTCTGGCCTGTCGGTGATGAAAAGAGCCAGCTAACCGGAGCAGCCCAGGCCCCCGAACCCGCCGCAGTGGGCGAACAGAAGGTCCGCTGGAAACCCTCAACCCACCCAGCCCCGAAGTGTCGCAGACCCCTCCGTCAGCTCATCTGTTCTCCCCCCCTTCGGGTGCACCTACTCTCTCCCGCCGACTCCTCCCAGGCGACCTCCACTCATCCGTCCCGGGCGCCACCAACCGCGCCCCTCGCCGCCCCCGCGACCGCTCG